GGAAGTCAAAGTGGGCGATGGGTGGACTTTTTTTCCCGTTGAAGCGACCGACGCTGACGTCACACTCCGCCCCCACCGACCGGCCAACTCCACCCCTCGCCTTGTAACTCAAGCGAGCCGTTTCAACTTCATTTCTCAAGCCTCTCTCTCTCTCTGTGAAAGTGTCTCTCATGGCGTTGGTTTCTGCTGCTTCGACTCCAGAGAGCATCGACCTCCCGCGATCCATGGTGATCGACGCCACTCCGCCTGAATTCTCTTCTCCGGTGATTCTTTCCGATCCCTCGCCGTCGTCCCCGCACGGATCGGGCGACGATTCTTCTACTTCCTCTCCAAACCCTAGCGGCAGCGGTTATAATCAGGTCCTGATTCCTTTGACTTCATCTGCTTTTGCGATTCAATTTGACTTCTCTTTACTGGCTTGCTTGATCTTTGAATCTGGAATTTCGATTGCTCTCTCATCTCTTGAATTTGAGCCTATTTACCCATCGTTTGTTCTGGTTGTAGTCTGAGGTTGCAATTAGGAATGAAGAGTATCGCCAGTTGTTTCGTCTTCCAGCTGAAGAAGTCAGTGCCACTATTATCTTGGCTGTCGGAAACCATTTTCTCGAGGTTTCTTTTTGGCTGTCGGACTGAATGTTTGCCGTTCAATTAACACAGGTCCTTGTCCAAGATTTCAACTGTGCTTGTCAGGAGAGTATACTTCTGCAGGTAGCTCGTTTGCTCTTCGCCAGACCTTTTTTTGGGTTTGTTTTTTCTTCTTTTCCTAGGCTGTTGAACTTTTCAATCTTTCAACTTTGGCCTTCTCTTTCCTGCAGGGTCACATGTACCTCTTTGTTCGTTATATCTGCTTTTACTCCAATATTTTTGGGTTCGAGACTAAGGTAGTCTTTACACCTTTGCAGTTGCCATCGAATGTTTTTTTTTTCTCCCTATTTTCTTATGCAATATTGATCGGTATCTGTGGTACAGAAAGTAATTCCTTTTGAGGAAGTAACTTGTGTTAAAAGAGCTAAGACGGCTGGAATTTTTCCTAATGCCATAGAGATAGTTGCTGGAGAAAAGAAGGTATCACCACTCGTTTTTCACTTTGCTTGTGGATATCGTGATCTGAATTTATCCATTTTTGTTCATTTCTTGGATCCTGCATTTTCTGAAACATTTTCTTTCCCAGTACTTTTTTGCGTCATTTCTATCACGCGATGAAGCTTTTAAGCTTATTCATGATTTATGGTTGGATCATGGTAATGCTTCCAAAGCAAAATGCGAGGTTCAAGTCGTGGAAGGACAGGTGATATGGATCAAGTTTATTAGTGCTTATCAAGTTTAAGTCGTGGAAGGACATTGTTTTGTTATGTTTACCTTGTTCAGCCTATCTGTCCAGGATTCATTTTCTGAGACCAACGGCGAGGTAAATGGAGTTACAGTTGAGAGGACCATCAACTCCGAGGAAATGGTTAATGGTTTAGATTCCTCCATCAGGTACATAAGATGCTAGTGCATGCCTCAGTTAGTTGTTACCGCTCTATGGCTCATTCTACCTTTTGCTTCACAGGGATGAGAATATTTGCATTTCAAGAAATTCTGGTCCCCCTGTTATTAGTCACAATGATGTGCCGCGATCTTCCAATGCTGCACAGCAGCACACAGAACCAGTTGATCATAGTGTGCCTTCATCTTCAACCAATTCGTTGAACTGGAAGATTGAGGACTTAGATGCACCAAAGAGTAATTCAATTCTGTCCCCCGCCTTTCAATTTTTAGTTTTTTTCATCATTGTTAGTCACATGTCGGATTCCCAATTTTGGGGTCAAACGGTTTGTATATAGCCTTCAGGATGGGAGTGCTTATTTGTGGTACATGTTTTAACATTGAAGTGTTTGCTAGTTTGAATGGGACTCTAATTATGACATTGTATTGTTTCGAGGTTTATGTGCATTCTCATTTTATTTTTCTGTGCGTTTAAAAGAGATTGAAACGTGGGTGTTTGATATTAAATTCCACTGCTCTTAAGGTAGGCTGTCTCAAAAAAAAATTCGCTTTGCAAGGCCTTTCAGATTCTAGCAATTTACTTTTTTCATTTCCTTGTGTGCTTTGGATTGTCCTTCTCAGTATGGGGATTCTCTTTCTTGCTGAATCAGTTTATGTATGTATGATTTTTTGTTGTACTCAGTGTAATTCGTTGCTCATATTTCCTGTTCTTGACATGCAGTATCAGCTGATTTTACTAAGGTGGCAGAGACACAGTTCTTGGTAATGTCGTTGTTCAATTCTCTGTCTCGTGAGATAGTGTCCCACACTAACAGAACACAGCTTAGTTGGAGACAGAAGCTTGGAATGTATTTAAACAGAATTTATTTTATGATTGCAGGTCTCTGTAGAAGAGTTCTTTAGCTTGTTTTTTTCAGATGACGCCGTTGATTTTGTTGAATCTTTCCATAAAAACTGTGGTGACAAAGGTAAAGCTGTCTATGAAGGAATCAGTTTGCTCTGTGCTCTTGTTGCTTTCACTACATTTTTCCTACTGTAAATGTCTGTTTTGATGGAGGAGATGTCTGTATCTGCAGAGTTTAGGTGTACTTCATGGCAATCTCATGAAAGGCTTGGGCACAGTCGCAGTGTGTCATTTCAACATCCTATTAAAATTTATTTTGGTAACATTTTTTCTTTCCTTTTTATTTTGTGTAAGTACAAATTGTGACTTCAGAAAGGTTAATATGCGTATTTTCTTTGGATTGTACTTGAAGGTGCAAAGTTTGGTAGCTGCCACGAGACGCAAAAATTTCGAGTTTACAGAAATGGGTAACTAGAAAAAGATAATGATAGGGTCATCCCTTAAAACTCGTGTTTTCTTTATACTAAGATTATGTCCGAGCCAGCGAATGTTTCCATATGATCATATGCTTATTTTCTGTATTGTCTAATATTTTTTTTTCTTTTTGTCAGCCACCTGGTTATTGAAACATCACAAGAGATTAACGATGTGCCTTATGGAGATTATTTTACTGTAGAGGTATGATGTACACTTAAAACCAATACTAACACACCCAAAAAAAAAAAGAACCTGTCGGCCCTTACATAGTAAACAATAAATCAATTGCATGAGCTAGTTAAAGACTGTTGTATCAGCAGCATGCTCAGTGTTAAATTTTCAAGAGTTGAACGCAATTCTTTGTAATAAGTGGTTACCCTTTCCTAATTCCAGGGTCTCTGGGATGTGCAAAGAGAATGCAGAGGCTCAAAAGAGGGTTGTATACTGCGTGTTTATGTGAATGTGGCCTTCACAAAAAGAACAGTGTGGAAAGGTTCGTTTTGTCCTCATTTGCTATGTTTCTTCGTAATAGTCCTTGGTGTTTGATACGTTCCATGGCTGTAAATGGATGCCTTGGCTCCGTCACCTGGCTTCCCATCAGTTGAGAAAAAAAAATGTGAAAACTAGTTCAAGAATGGTTGCTGCGGATTGTGGAACATGGTGATTGCAGTTCCTGTACATAGAATGTTGTGCTTCATTTAATCTTTCAGCTTTATGGCTATACAGTTTCTCTTAGATTTGAAATGATGGTTTGTTTTCCGTGAGTAACAGGGAAAATAGTGCAATCTACTTTAGAAGAATGTAAAGAAGCTTATGCAACATGGATAAAAATGGTAACCGCTACAACTATTTGGGTCGGCATATTCTTTTATGAGAGGCTAACCTAAGCTTGAAACTCATATTCTGTTTTGAACTTTTTCTTTTAAGGCACATGGAGTGTTGAAGCAGAAGAACCTAGAAGAGCAAGGTCTGTGCTTTTTGGACTCTACAAATGGAACTTTTTCAAGGATTGATGTATATCGATATTTTTATGATCCCATATTGACAAGTATGGCAGCTGTGGTCGTGTGTTGAGACAAAGTTCAGTTCACATATCCTGTCTTAAATCTCAAAATGTTAGGTACTGAAATAATAGGTGATGGGAAGAGCAGCGTGAGTCAGAGCAGTGGACAGGTGTCTGTAGGAGAAGGGAGGAAAGAGGAGGAGACAGAGAGGAGACGGTCAGAATCTGATGAGCTGAGCACAGGCGTTGTTGTTGTAGATGAGGGGAACATGATGAGAGGATACGTGAACAGGGCGGGGTCTATGGTGAGAGAAGCATGGGTGAATATGACATCATTCATGAACAGCCAAGGACGTAAGGCGCCTCAACTCTTGATAATTGCCTTTGCGGTGATCTTACTGATGCAGGTATATGTGCTTGTCTATTCTACGATGAAATATATGTATGTAGTAGGCAGTGAAGTGGGCAATAATAGATATAATATATATGGTGCAGGTGACGATAGTGGTGTTGCTGAAGAGGCCGCAACAGCAGATACAGGTAGTGGCATGGGAGAAGGGAGGAGGGGAGATGATGTGGTTGGAGAAGAGGGTGCATTTCCTAAGGGAGGAAGTGCTGATGATGGAGGCTCGGCTCGAGAGGATGCGGCAAGATCACGCCTCCTTGAAAGCTCACCTCACAGACCTCGAGCAGCTCCTCCTCCGCCAATCCTCCGACCATCATCCCTAAGCCCCCCTGTGTATGCCTACTGTACTACATTCACTCTTCTCTTTATTTCATGTCTATAAATATACACACGCACACACACACACACAAAATTGCGGATACATGAAACTGTATCTTATTGCTGACGAGAGTGTATGTGTTTGCATTTCTTTTCTGTGTATTATCCGCATTAAGCCGTGCTCTGTTTTCTCCTCTCTTAGGGGAAAACTTGCCACAACACGTACGTATGTATACCCACGCACGCACCCTGGTTATTTCGAAGCTGTAACTATTTGCTCTCGGAGGAGATGCAAGTTTTATAGGTAAAAGGTAAAGCATACTTATCATGTGGAGAAATCATGGGTATGCCGCACCACGTTCGGAAAACGTGAAAAATAGTTCGTACCCAGCGATAAAATATGCTTTGGAAATTCGTTTCTCCTAGTAAATTCACCCGGCTGCTTATATTTCATATAAAACGACTGTTCAATAACACGCCTACTGCTTTGTACGCATTTGATTTCAACGAAGGTATGTAAAAAAAATGGTAAATGCTTGTCTTTAAACACTGCCCGGAAACAAATATTGAGCTCTCGTATTATATTTGAACAGTTGCAGTTAGCCAAAAATCAGGGCTTATGAGGATATGTTGGGCCCATTTCATTTGTTGAGGCTTGAGAATCGATTAGCCTTTTTTATTATCTAAACTAACCTTCGGGGGTGTAAAACGGGTTGGTCCGGCCCAACCCAGTCTACGTCGTTCCGATCTAAAATTTTTTTAGTCCAGTCTAATCCAACCTATTTTGTAGCGAGTCAAAAATATATCAGTTCGATCTCACGAGCCAAACGAACCAGTTCACAAGTCAAATATATAAATTTTAAAAATAAAATTTTAATACTAAAAATTATTTAAATCATTTTAATATTTAAAAAATATTTAAAATATAATAAAAAATAAAATTTTTAATAAAAACAAACTAAATATATAATAAAAATATAATATATATATAAATATTTTAAAATATATAAAAAATATTAAAATTTAAAAAAAATATTCCAGCTCACCATGAGTCTGTGGTTTGTGATGAGTTGGTTCGGTTTTTTTTTTTTTACTTAACTTTTTTTG